TAAAAACTATTAAAGGAGGCTGGGCGCAGTGGCTCATGCCTGTAATCCCAGCGCTTTGGGAGGCCAAGGTGGGAGGATCACTTGAAGCCAGATGTTCAAGGTCAGCACGGGCAACAAAGCGAGACCTCATCTCTACAAAAAACTTAAAAATTAGCCAGGCATGGTGGTGTTCACCTATAGTCCCAACTACTAGGGAGACTGAGGTGGGAGGATCGTTTGAGTTCAGGAATTTAAGACTGTAATGAGCTATGATGGCACCACTGCACCCTGGCCTGGGTGACAGAGCAAGACCCTGTCTCTTAAAAAAAAAAAAAAAATAGAGGGCAATAGGAATCCCCCTGGTAACAATGTCAGTGGGGTTTCTCACTCTAACAGCACAACCAAGTATCAGGATCTGCAGAGGTTACAGCACATGTCCATGAAGTGCCATCACCAGCTGCCAGGACCTGCCTGACAATCCCAAAACAAGTGTTCTGGTCACACTAGTGAAGATCACCACATGCCAAAGTCACAACAGTATGTCACAAGACAGTAGCACACCACAAATGTACCAGCACAAGGGTATAAACAAAGTGCCACAGCATGGCCAGGCGCATCAGACAACAAGGACTCAGCATGGACCCAGCCCCTGCAGGTCCTGGTGGCTTCACTCCGTTCTCAGGGTCTGACGGGCACATGGGGTCCCACCATGCTGACTGTCACCACACACTGGGCATTACAACATGTGGAAAGCCTCAGGTTCCAGGCCACGGGGTGCGGCCAGGGGTGACCCCACGTGGCTGTGCTCAAGGATGCTTCCTCCTGGTGCCCAGCAAGGCCTCCAACGCAGGAAGGCTGAGGGGCTGCAAGGGGTCCTGAGCCCTGAGGAAGGAGCAGCAGGGGCCCAGCAGATACCCAGGGCCTCCCAGGGCCTGGCCCCAACCACCAGCAATCTTCCCCTTCCTCACCCGCCAAACATCCCAGGCCTGTGGGTCTTAGGCAGAAAGAAATCAGGCTGAGAGCTCCCATAGAAGCCAACCGTGGGCAGGCTGGGCCCTCTGTGAATATTCTAAATGGGGCCCATGCCACGGCATCCTCACAACGTTTGCCACGGTGGCCAGGGCGGCTGGGGCAATGGCAGTGACCAAGGTGTTCTAGAGTGTTCTTCCCCAGGTATGGGCAGTCCAAACTCCCTCCCTCTCCCCACCCACAGCAGGAAACCTGGCTGGCCTCACCTTGTAGATGTCAAAGCCAATGGCCAGGTTCTCGCCCTTGCCCTCCCGGCGTGTGGACCGCTTTGGCCGCTGCTGGATGCAGATCAGGACTTCATCTTCTGGCTTCTTGACATCAAAGATGTACTGCAGGTGTGGCCAAGGAGAGAGACACGGCAGTGAGACCACGGCAGTGAGACCACGGCAGTGAGACCACGCCAGGGATGGGCTGGCTGGCTCCCGGAAGCTCAGATTCCAGAGCCTGAACCAGTCACAACACCTCTCTGTGCCTTGGTCCCTCTGCTGTGAGGTGGGCCCACCAATGCCTGC